GATTAAATGGGAAGTCTTCACGAGTCTTGTTATAGCACTTAATGAGATAGTAGAGTAATGGCATTTATAATGGCAATTGATTTTCTAGCGGACCGATGCTTATTAAAATTAGTGTTCTTATGATTATGGATAACTTAATTCTAGAGAGACTCTTCATGCATTTGAGTATGTCTTAATTAGTCTTGTTTGTTTGTTTTTCTAGTGATTAGATATAAATGATCTTCTGCTTGTATGATCTAACAACTAATTATAGATCTGGATGACTTAAAACAAAAGTATTCAAAATTGTTAAAAGGTTTTAACGTACAGCACAAAAGACAATAATCATGACATAAGCGAGAGAAATTTAAAAATTCTCACAGAAAATTAAAATACAAATCATCTGATTGTCACTGAATTCCTCAACACAAAAATTCAAGTTCATATTCAAGACAACAAAAGTTGACAGCTTAACATGTAAAATTGACTTTCTTATGACTCTGGCTGTGACAAAAATTATTAGGGCTCATAACATATTCACTTCATTAATTTTAATTAAATCTCATGAACTCTCTAAAAGCTTACAATTTGCTCGTACATTAATGTTTGCGAATTGATCAAGATGTGTATGGAAGCCGATAAATTAAAACCACACTAAAATCTTCGCTAAAAGCATCAACAAAAGCTTGAAACTTACAAGCGTAGCGAGATAAAATTTGATTAATTAGTTCTTAAAAAATGTTAAATGCTAAAAATTTAAATTGGAATCAAATTTTATACAGCGAAAAATTTCATTTCGCACAACTTTCATTTCTTTTCTTCTTTCAACTCGTGTGAATTTTGTTTCCATTTGTTGATGATCATCGTCTTTATTCCACTACTTAAAAGTTCAATTTATTATTTAAAACTTAATTGATAATTAATTTTTATATTATTTTCTCATAAAATTGATGAGAAATTTCTCTAAATTATTCAATTTAAACGAGATACAATATTGTTACAAGCTTTTCAAAATCTGACGAATCTCAAGAACCGTTCACTTATGACGTCCGACATTTAGGGGGGGGGGGGGGGGGGGTCTAGGATTTTGTGACAGTTCAAACAGTGGAAATTTTTTTCTATAGAATTTTTGTGACAGAGGGGGGGGGGGGTCTAAAAATCAGGTTTTTTGATGGACGTCATAAGTGAACGGCCCCTCACCGGAATCTGATGAGTTTTCAATTTTGAAGCAAAAATGACGTCTGTATTTCGAAATGTCTGGAGTAATCAAATATCTTATATATATTTTTTGGCTTAGTTTGCATAATAAAGAGATTGCTGAGTCACTTTGTCATAACATTGTTGTTTGGATGACGCTGTGAGTCAATGAACATCTAATTGCAAGCATCTTACTCTTATTTAAGCTACTACTAGTAGATTTTATGGCAATTTAACAAAATATGTTTTTATTTCATAAGTTTCATCGGATATAATGTGACTTTAAAATGTTTTAATCTGTGATTGTCAACAGATTCTCAATTAATTTGAGGAAACAATATATTTTGATCCCAGATTTTAAAATTATGCGCTTAAGTCATGAACCCAGTTGACTTTTTACCAGCTTATACACTCATGTATCAATTTTCATTTTTATAGTCTGTACAACATACGTCACATTATATCCGATGAAATGAAGATTGTTTACTGACGTTATTATGTAGCCTAGATTTCATGGTTGTGTCGAATGTTTCTTTCATGTTTCCATCTCAATACTTAACTTAAGTTACTTAAACTTAACACAGATTTTCTTTCTATTTCTTCACGTATATTATTTATATCTTTATCGAAATATGAGATTCGATGTGAGAAAAAATTTCTAAAACCTGACTCTTTAATTATCACAAAGGTGTTATATGAGATGCTCATATTATTGTACCAGTGTTATGGAATATCTCAAACAAATATGAGTGAAAACGAGACATAGACAATTATATTAGCAAGTAGATGTTACCGTGCTATATGTCATAAATAAAGTCCTTATCATCTGTTATATGCATTTCAATTTTATTATTTTGATGCCAAAAAGTTTTCATTTTGAGTTGAATAACATCGGTTGTGTCTGAATATAAATCATATTAATGACTGTCATTAGACAATCGTGAAAAAACCACACACGAAACAAATTAAATTGGTCAATTAAAAGCTCCATTATTTTGCGACATAAGCCGCTTTTAATTATGTAAAGAAAATGCAAATAAAGGTTCGGAGCATGTACAAGTCACAACCCACGTAGACTCAATAAAATACCGAAATAAAATGCAACAAAATATTAACACTAAGCCTATTTTCTGAAGCCGAATGGCAGTTTAGCAACTGTCTGATTAAAATTCTTATCACTGCCGCAGATTACTTTTTGCCTTTCATTTAACTCTTGTGTAGCAATACAGTAACATGCAGCAAAGACTATTACAATTATTCAAAACATTTAAATGGAAATATAATCTATAATTTTATATCTCTGGAATCCAATTGCCATTTCTTAAAGAAATCAATTTTCTTTCTCAAGAAATTATAAATAAAATAATCAGCATGTTCTTATGAAAAAAGGTGGCTGTTCAGTTATATAATATTCCTTGTATATCTTTTCTCTCGTAGAACGTGAGGTCATATGTTATAACAAGAGCCTTTTCTACTCTCTGTTAATGATTCTTTCTCGAGTAATTGCAAAGAACACAACTTGACTTGTAACAATTAACTTTATGGATTGAACGAGGTCTTAAGGAAGCTGCTGACAGATCATAATGAATAAAATAAATTAGCTGTGAGAGACTTTGCTGATATCAATCTTAAATCCCAAATAATCACAGATTCTAAGCCAGTTTGAGACAACATCTACAGTGCATTTACTAGTACTTCGAAACATAGATTCTTAGTAGTTGAGAAATAGAAATTATCATAATTTAAAAGCAGATATAAGTTTTATATGAGCTCTAAGTTCAGCTTTGGCTAAATACGCAAAGATTAAAATTTGGAATTAATAATAATTCAACCAAGTGGAATAGAGACTGATTAGTTTGAATATCAACCACGACTCACTAAAGTTCTTTGAATTTCTGACTTTGTCACTGCGATTTGAGAGATTGGTCTCAGATTGGAATCGAACACACGTCCTCACAAAAGAGGGTTAGAAATATCCGATCTTACCACTAGCACTAAAGAGGCCATGCTATTGCACTAGCAGATTCGCCTTTATATGGCTTGATACCCTAGTTTTCACTTTGCTTAGACACCACACCAAAAAAGGAAATAAAGTCATCAAAGAGAAGTTCCTGAAAATGATTTTCAGACTGTTAATATTTTAAACAACTTTGCACTTAAGTGCCTAAACGCTCGTTTTATGGAACCAAGAAACTAAGTTTAAAAATATAAAACAAGTCATTCATTAGATAATTTGAGTCATTCATTTGTGAGAAAATAAAAGAAGACTAAAACAATTTCAGAGACATTTTTTTTCACATAATAAATTGACTCATTTGCCTAAATGAATTTTATAAAAGTCCATATTAAAGGGATTTTGACTAAAACCATATGCTAATGAATGTAATTGTGATAATTTAACTTATAAAGTGTAATTCTAATTGAATTATCCCTTATTAAGATAGGTTAACTTTTAATTGGAATACAGGATGTGAAAAATCTATTTCTAGTCTTTATATTGAAGATGAGGACTTAATTTAATTATCATGGTTCTTAAGTCAAGAACTTTAAAAGTGTTGATTTTGCTTAATTTGAAGAATTAATTTTTCATAGATTTCAGAAGATCATTTTCATATTTCATTAGTAGCTTGCTTGCTAAAACTAGTCATTTGTCTTCTATTTATCATACTAAATCCAGCATCTTAAAGATAGATGATTGTAACTATGAAAAATTATTATGTGACGGAAATTCTATTGTGCTTCAAAGATTTACGACATAGTCACAGCATCTTGACTAAGAAACGTGATATATGATTTTAGGTTTTGAGTTACAGTCTAGGAGGTATATTGATGTCAGGTTTTTAATGTTAGTGGAACCATTCATTTAGACTATACTCTATCAGTTCGAACCTCACATATGCTAATATTCCTAATCTCAAATGTATAGCTTGAACCACACTCCAAATTGTAACAAAACTACAATATAACAATACAGTGCCTAAATCTGACACGGAAGTCTACTCAAAAATCTACAACACTTTCCTTTCTAGGAAATCAATTTTCCGCTTCTTTTGACGGGCATCAACATAACTAGTGTAGAAGCTCGTTACAATAACAATAATGAATTTAATGCATTTTATCGCATGTCTTTGTTAATCTATTTTCATGGCTATATATTTCAAGTGGACAGACACTTTTTCCATTTCATTTCTAGGTGTCATTCACAATTGATGACTATAAAAATTCTTAAACATCTCATCCTTAGCCCGTATTTGTTAAAATATTACAGTACATCGTGTCACATAGCAACACATCTAAATTGGCAAATTGAAAGTGAATGACAACATCAACCGCAATCTTAAAAGAATCCGAAGGATAACATCATTCGCCAAAAATAAAAGTCAAAATTAATTTTCAGTTTTGCAAAAAAAAAAATCAGATTTTTTGTGTGTTAAGTTGAAGGTCACAGAAGAAGTGATGATCATAAAGATGACAAGCGCAAATGTGTGTGTGTGTGTGTGTGTGTGTGTGTGTGTGTGTGTGTGTGTGTGTGTGTGTGTCAAATATGGACAAAAGCAAATTAGGCTTCATTTATAAGTTTGCAAACGATGTAAAGCAGCTGATAAAAGGAGAGTATTGAAGATCAGTCGCTACAATTCTTATTCATTGTCTTAAATTTTGTCGCTTTTGTAAGTCAAAAGTCATTAAAAAAAAGTTGTTGCACTAAAAAGCAGCATCAACACAATTTAATGATACAAGCAATTATGCGCAAAGGAAGAGGAAAAAAAATTGTCTTTACGTATGAATATGAGAGAAGGTAAGTACATGCAGAAAAAAAAACTCACTTTCTTGCTTTCCTTGGGTCCATAGATTGTGTCCAACTAGATGCGAGAAAATGTGACTGTTGTATTGATTGCGGCTGCTGATGAAGATGAGGATGATGTGTAAAATGCAGATAATTTTTCGGCGATTTCACGGTCGAATATCCATATTGCATTGGCATCATGCTATTACTTAAATTACTTAAACTTAATAATCCACCACTTGTTTCATGCGAGTTTGATTGTTGCAAATTATTAATACTACTTTTATTACTATTTGATGATGTATGATAAGATTTATACAAATTACTTGTTGATCCCGTTGCTCCTATTGGTAATAATCTACCATTGATGCTGTTATTATTACTACTATTGTTGTTGTTATTGCTTGTATTACTAGTCGTATGATAATTCTGGTAAGATTTGTAATTCTTGAAATAATTCAGATATTGTTGTTTGGGATCAACGGTAACACGAACAAAACGTCCAGCAAGAATATTTTGATTAGCATTGGGTGTCGATGATTTATTAAAATCATTATTAATATTCGATCGTAGCTGAATACGATCAACAGATTGCGATCGCGGCTGTGATGTTGTTTGATATATGCTATTAGTACTGTTAGACTTTGGAGGCAAGGGGGCTTTATTTTTCATACGTCTATAGATGTGTTGTTTCTGATCGGCTTTCGATGTCGGTGTCGCTTGCTGTTGATCTGTTTTTAGTGCGGTATTATGTATAATCAGCTTCCCATCATCCGCATTATTATCAGATTCTGAGTCACCACCATCGAGACATACACTAGATATTGGTGAACTTTCTATGTTGTTACTGTGTCGCACACTATGATGCTCAATACGATGATGAAGATCAAAAGTTGAAGGTTGTGTCGACGTTAGTTCCGAATCAGTAGATATTCGGTCTGGATCTGATTCAAATCCCTCATCAAGTGACCTTGTTGGACTTAATATTGGCTTTGATACCTCAATTTTTGTTTGCTCCATTTTTGTTATGGATCTTATTTGCTTTTTTTCTAGCTGATCTAATTTTAAACTATTTTTTTTTCGTCACAAATTTCAATTATCAAAAATGAAATTTTTATGTTGACCGATTTTTTACATGATTTGATATTTTATTATTCTTTTCGTTCTTCTGTTATTATTGTCATTCCAATTATGAATTTTCTTGAATAATTTATATTAATTTAATTTTTCTCGCTTTGTGGACGGTGATTATTTTTTGTGTCTCGTCACTATAAGCAACATTTAACCGAAAAAAAGAGCATTAATGTCTCGTATTTCGAAATTGAGTAAAAATCACTTTCGATGGGCGCATAAAAAAAGTGGAACGATATAATCACTTGGAACTAGTATGTCCAATAATAAACAAGACTCTTGAGATTGATCGAGAAGACTTTTTTACTTCTTCTTCTTGTGTGTTTATATGCTTAAACACAAACCGCTTCACACTGCAACTTGGTTGCTGATGATATCGGAAAAGGAAAATGAGCACAAAATTGTAATAAATAATTAGGAAATGATCATTTTCTTGTTGTTGTTGTCTTAAGCTTTAAAGTGTCTCCGGTTATTTTCAACTCTTTTTTTCAACTTTTCCAAAGAAATACTTGAAATATCTTAATGATTTTTTTTTTATTTTTTATTTCTTTTCTTTCACATATCTTCTCTCTTCTCTTTATGTCTGATATCTTATATCCAAGAAAAACACACACAAAACACAACAAAAATATTCATCAATGAAAAATTTCTTTTTATTTTTTTTTTAGCAATTTTCGTTTTCACTTCAATTGTATCTCAAAAAAAAATATTCATCACTTCTTTCAATATTTCAATGGATTGCAAAAAAGCACTCGTCTCTTCACTTTCATCACCACAGACAGTGAATAACGAAATACTTTTTTTCAAATATTTTTTGATTGTTAATTTTTAAATCTTTTTTATACTTTTAAATTTTTAAATTCGATGAACTTTTCAGATTCAATTCTGATCGTTTTCGTATGTCACGAGTGACAACGTCTTTGCTTGATTTCACAATAAAATTTCACCTTATTGAAAAAAAATTTCAAAAATTTTCCCAATTCCTTTTAATTTTCTTTGCCTTCCTTTCCGTCTCAATTTTATCATCAACTGTCACTTTTTCTTATTGATCATCATTTCAACACATCAGAATAATCCAATTATTTTGCCGATTAGATTTTTTCACTTTTTTATGCGAAAAAAAAAGAAATTAACTTTCATGTAACCCCGATAAGACGAGGAGTAGCTTCTAAAAGTCAACCGATACTCTCGAAATTTGAATGAAGACTGAAAAATACAAGCTTTACGATGCCATCGGTAGAGCTCTTTCGCTTTTTCTTTTTTTCATGCTTCTTTCATTTCATTAAGCTATGACTGTTGAGTTTTTGAGCGCATTGCAGAGAGAAAAATAGTAAAAGAGTGAGCGAATGGTTTAAATGTATGCATGCCTGTACACCTGTAAATTTATGAGCAAAGCGTGAGAGCGTTAAGCACTCGCACGTTGATTAGAATTTGTGCAGTTCAGAGCGAAGTGAGTTTAAGCCGTCATCATCATTAATCGTCATTAATGTATGAATGAAATAGAGAAAAACACATCATACTCAGGTGCCCACATAGTGGCTATACTTATTTATTCTTTCCAGAACTGACTGAGTGAGTATGAAGCATAATTATTGTTTACACATTTATTCTTTATTTTGATTTTCTTCTTCTTTCTTTCTTCTTTAAACCAATTCATCAGCTCATAATTTCATTGAATAGCACTGCTGCTACTCTATGAGATGATGAGAACAGAAAAAAAAAATCTAAATGATGATGAGACTTAAATGATGAAATATTTTATTTTCTTTAAAACTATTATTTGCCTTTGAATCAAGAGTAAATCCAGTCCTACTTGATTGATCCAATGGGATTTGTGGACCTTCATATGAAAAAGGAATCCACAAAACTTTCTTTAAGCTTGACTACATAGTACTTTTCTCTGTCTGCTTATTGATATAGCTTTTCAATGTGACCAACTTAACCTTCCGTGGTTTTGATCTCTAGAACCTTTAATTACATGTTTTTAAGGAATTAGATCTATAAAGCACTGCATCTGCAGGTATATGTCAAATCAATCTAACACTCAGGATGTTAAAATAAAATAAAATCAAATTCTGAAAGTTAGAAGCTCGCCTAAATCTTAACTAAAATCACCAATCCAAAAGAGCTGGAAATAAAAATTGAAGCTCTGACTTAAGATGATGAAAAAACATAAAAATATTGTTGACCATAAATAATGAAATTACAAAATTAAAGAGATTTAAAGTCCATATCAAAGACTATTTTGATTTTCCTCTTTTTAAGCATTAAGCACTTATTATTTCCAAGAAAGAATCGTTCACAAAAGAAGAATTGGATTCTGAAGAATGATGATAATCAAAAATCATTTTGGAATATTCTATCGATTATGTAAGAAGTAATGAGATTATTTCCTTTATTTCCATTTCTAAGCCATGCCTATGTTCCATCTGTCATTCAAAACACTCATATGACCCCAAATTTAACAAAAAAAAGCAACCAAACAAAAGAGTTGTCTCCTTCAAGCAATGCCAAGATGATCAAGACTTGCCTCACTTAAATCTGTTTCATTTTCTTCCTATTTGATATCGCTTCTAGTCAGGCATACACAAATCTTGATTTTTTTGACTTTCAAAATTTACTTTTTTTTGCCAAACGCATTCGTCATGCTCTCAGATTGAGCAATTGCTGTAAATAAATGAAAATATATATTTTTTGCGGCCAAAAATGGATCTCCGCACGGCTACAACATGAAGATAGCCGGAAATTGTGTAAATATCTCGTCATGTTAAACATCTCAAATTGCGATGTTTTTTGTTGTTAATAAATCTTTTTGATACGCGCATGGATGAGATTATGAGCATTCACATGATGCTCATAATATTTCATAATTAAACGTCATGAGCTAGTATTAATAATATCTATCTAGATGTGATGAAAGTCAAGGAATTTTTATTATTGTAAAGAACTCTATTCAGAGCTAAGCTTTCTTTCTTGCCATAAGCCTTCAAGAAAGTTATAATTTATGGTGTCTTTTAGAACATCAACCACATACCGTTCATCTACTAATTTTACAGCGCATTAATTCCATTCTTTCATATGTACATTCTTTTTCAATTTATGTTTTTTTTAAAAAAAAATTTATTTTCATCATTCAAAAAATTAATAAATGAAGCTCTCTAGAATCAGCATGAAGGATATGAAGCTCTCATTAGCGTCGATTTTTCTTTATTTGTTTAGTATTTTTGAAGAAATTCGTACGCATACAACTTGAAGATGAGCAGCTAACATAAATTTAATTTATTTTACTCGGTTCTAGTTCCCGAGAAGCATAGATGAGTCGTTTACTTATTATTTTAATATTTTGTAGGTTGGAAATAAGTTTTGAGTTGGGTCTCAATGAAGTTGAATCATATGTAGTGGAAATGAGGCTCACAGCCTTCCTTTGTAAGCTACAGGCAGAAATGTCATCAAAGGAGTGGTTCGTATCCCACTATAAATTGAAAGTCTAGGTTTGAGTGCAGTGGTTTGGGGCATCCTCACTCAACAATGTGTGAAGGGCTCAGCTGGAGGCACACAATTTGTAAAGAATCTATTGTATCAAAGCCTTTGACTTACAGTTTATAGTGGGATCTGAACCACTTGCAAGCTCTGCACATTGCAAAGACACGAGTACGTCATGAGACCTGATGTACCCTGCAATGTACCTTGTCACAATTATGTGCGCAAGATGCCGTAAGGAAGTCATCCAGATGCTAGTATATCCTAGTATACCTAGCAAAGTAGACATGTTATGTCCCGAAGACCTCAAAACTACACCCAACACACGAACCGAGCTTCGTAACTAGAACGGTGAAATGGAAAAGAGCTTCGAAAATTAGACATGGCCTGGGTTTGAACCCAGGACCTTTGGCACGGAAAACCAACGCTCTACCATTTAGGTTACTAATGCCATTTCACTGCTAATCCTCACTCGTTACACTCTCATTAGGTGCGAATCGCCCTAGCACACCTCTGGATCACAATTGATCTGAATAGGTAAAGGTTTTTTTTAATTGAACTGGCATGTTAAGCATTCTAACACACAAAAAATGAAAAGTTCAAAAATATACAGTTCGGGTCATTTTCATCAAAACATCAAAAAAAAATTCTTCTAAGATTTTAGAGAATTTCTTTTAAGAAATATAAAGTAATTAAGCTCAAAGAAAAAGAACAGGTAGTGTTGGCGGTACAAAGGAAGAGGTAATAGAAGCGTAAAGTATTCTCATCAAGAATCTTGAAAAAATCAAGCGGTAACGCTTTTATTGTTTCTTATGATTCAAATGATTGCCTACAACAAATTATTTGGATGCGCAGCAGTAAGATCAAATGATTGCCAAATCATAAACTCATCTTCAGTGACAGCACAAGCATGTAGCGTTATTATTATTATTACTGCGTTGTGAAAAACTTCACCTTGAAAAAAGTATAAGGGAAATTTTTCTTGCTCATACTGTTTTTGAGTTGAAAATTTAAAAATCCATGTCACTCACATTATTGTCTCATACCATCATCATGTACATTTGTTTATGGGATGTTTGCTATCTCTCATTTCCATTTTGTTGACTTTCGTAATGTGCAATTTATAATTTTTATTTCTGTATGTGACTCATTTATGACATCAAAATTACTTGCGATTATATTAAAGCGCGATTTATCAAAGGAAAAAAAAACTAGACCCTAAGCGATGATAGCTCATCTGATTGTATTGTATTGTTTGCTTTTATAAATCGTCTTTAATTTTTTTTACACAAATTTAAAGATTAAAGTTGAAAATTCAATTGTTTGCTGTCTGACGCAAATATTCTGTCATATTCAGTTGCTTTAAATAAGCAATTTGAGCTCATGTTTATCATTGCGTTGAGTTTGCA